CATTTATATCTACTAAAGCTCAGCATAAAGTTACTGTTCATTATGTGAGAGAGTACATTGTTCATCAACAGTAAAAGGTCGGAAATGCCCTCGGTTTCTTCTTTGTTTTCTGTACTGTTTACGTTTGCTACAGTAAAATGTCCGTTTTGTCCTTCTTGGCCTCACGTCTATCCACCCGTTCTTCATTTGATAAAACTGATTTGGTTTTGAAGACCATAATTTTTAAGCAACAAAATTAAGATGGAAATTAAATTGAGGTATGAATGCTTCCACTTATTCAGGTTATTCAATTGATCTTTTCCTTTACTAGATTTTATTTTTGAATGTTGTTTGATAAAACTAATTTGGTTTTGTAGATTAAGATTTTTAAGTGAGAAAATCAAGTTGGAAATTCAATTGAAATTGTAATGAATTTGTAAATTTGTCAAGTATATCTTACATTCGTGGTTCCATCTTCCCTTTACCCATAACCATTGAATTTTGTCTCCTGATTGGATGGTTTTTTATAGTTTCCAGGATCTACAGTTGCAATGCCTTTGATGGATAAAACACAGAAGACCCAACTACTCTTATAGAGCTTCTTTAGCATCGTAAGTTAAAATTGCATATCATTTTTTTGCTTCACGGAATTCATTATGTTTAATAGCATACCAATTATGTGATACCAATTGTTATCTTAGCAGTTTCTAACAATTTGTAAAGTACGGATAAATGTGTAGAAGTTTGAGTTATACATATGAAAGTTTCAACTATTATCCTCTTTTAGTAATTTTTGTTACACAATCAATCATTCACAAGTAATGCTATTCAGAGTGGGTCAAAGAATTTCAAGAGCTTCATTCATCCAATTTATGCTCTTCATGTAAAAATTCTTTCATTAAGTTCACACATCTTTCGGTGTAGCTAGATAAAATTAACATTCGATAACAATATGTTATAGCTTTGAAACATTTTTTCATACGATTTCTAATCCCGTAACAACGCATACGGGCAATACTTCTAATACACACTAAACACCCATTCTTGCCGATGTTCCCACCCTGTGTCCCTTGTAAAATCAAAGAACAGAAAAGACAACCATATTGTACTGGTACGTGAATTCGGATAAAAAACAAAAGGTCAACGGGCGTACCTGAGCCCTCAAATTCACTTATTAGATTCATTATTCTAAAAATCTTCATCTAGACAGTTGGTCACCATTATCATAAATTTTTACACATTTAAAAAGTAAAGACGGGCGCTTAAACATGTTGAATACTTAGATAAACACTTATTATCTGTATGTTCTTCATATTTTCAATATATTATAATAATTTATTATTTATATGTCATCATATGTTGTAAGTTATGTACTATAATACAATTATGTATTTTTTCTAAGTGTAAATAAACATTTGTTTATAGGTTACATAATAAATTTAATTAAACCCGCTATTGGACTGGTGTCTAATGCCTTATAAAATCTTAGGTAGATTCCTTTGCAAATTCTTTGTATTCTTTCGCAAATGCTCAGTCTCTAAAGTCACTAATATATTAAGGCTTTTTAGCCAAAATGATCCCTGATATTTGTATAACGCATAATTTCGGTCCCTGAGATTTAAAATCAATAGAAGTGGTCCCCGAGATTGTTCACCATCCATCATTTTGGTCATTTTGTTAAAAAACTCCGTTAAGTTCAAAGTATTTTTGTCAAATCAAATTCTCCACATGCTTTTTCACCCTTTTTCTCTCATTTCTCTCAAAAAATACGCCTATGTTGCTAATTTTGGCAGTGATATCAACTCTTCAACTATTATTAAAAACGATTTGGCATCAAACTCAAGTAAATCTTTGTAAACGATACTTGACATTTTTCCTTTCATTAATTTTTGGAAAAAAACTGTTAACCGAAATTGACGAGAGAGATGAGGATTTTGGTAGAAAAGATGGGAGAGATGAGAGAAAAAGGGTGAAAAAGCAAGCGGAGAATTTGATTTTGCAAAAATTACTTTAACTTTAACTTAACAGAATTTTATAACAGAATGATTAAAATGATGGATGGTGACCAATCCCAAGACCACTTCTGTTGATTTTAAATCTCATGAACCAAAGTTATGGGTTATGCAAATCTCAGGGACCATTTTAGCTAAAAAGCCATGTATTAAACTAATTTGGAATTATCGTTGCGTACAAAGTAGCGGGGAGCAACATAGAATAATTGGATTTGGATCCGCTCTGAACCTTAGTGTCCGGAGCCTCCAAGTCCACAAATTTGAGTCACACAAATTAAATCCAATGGTCTCCATTAATTCATTTTTCTAATCCACCATACACAACTAACGGTCCTGATTTGACTTGCACACCAATCAGCGGCCTAAATTTGTAGACTTGGACGCTCTGAACATTAAAATCTGAGGCGGATCCAAATCCGGAATAATCAATCTGAACTTTAAGTCTTTAACACGTAAACGTAGATAATAGGATGAGAGGAAAAGCATCGAGGCAAACTTCCAGGAACAAGATGCGTTGACAACGACGAAGACTTTGCTGTGCATTGTCGACTTGTTTTATTGGTGGGACAAAGACGTCCATTACAATAATAATAATTGAAAATAGGAGAAACTTAATATGAGTCCAATTTTATGAACCATTATTAGTTATAGTCCAATTTTATTTAATTTTTAGGTTAGGTCCAGTGATTCATTGTCCACATAAGCTTATTTGTATTCTCTTGCCAAATTTACTCTTAAATTGACCAATTGAGTAATTACTGTTTTTTTTAAGTTTGTGATTAATGTTAATCTTATCCTTAATTATAGGATTAGGGATTTAAATCTCCTTTTTTTTCTTCTCCTTCGCCAAATCGTTCATTTCTCTTTTCTTGTTTCTCCCTCACAATATCTCTCTCTTCCTCTGTTATTTTTCCCAGTAGTCTTCTACCATAATATTTTTCTTTTGCTCCTCCTTTCATAAGGATGATCAATATACATTTGATTGGTTTTTTTTTAAAAAAAAAAAAAAATTTGTATTAGTCAATCTTGTGTTTTGGGTTCTTCGTCTCATATATATATATATATATATATATATATTTTTTTGGGCTTCATTCTCCTTTATATATATATTTTTAACTTTGAAGTTTTATCGAATTAGCTTTTTCTCTAGTGTTTGCTCCCTCAATATCATTTTTCTTCACGATTTTTTTTGGTTTTTATCTACCTATATCACTTGTCCTTTATTTATTTATTTATCTTTTTATATTATATTGTGCCTGTATCATGAATAATTGTATTTATCTACCTATATATTACATATTTTGTTGATAATCTATATAAGATTAATTGTGTTTATCTACCTATATATCACAAATTAAGTGTGTTATCTACCTATACAATAAGTTTTTGTTCATAGTCTATCTGTATCATAGATTATTTTGTATTATCTATCTATACAATAGGTTTTTGTTCATAGGCTACCTCTATCATAGATTCTACCTACATTACAAATTTTTTATCTACCTCTAGCAATGTTTCTTTTAATTTTTGATAAACTTATAAGATTTGTAATAATGTCTTTTTAATTAAAAAATGGGTAGATAAAGGTATTTGAAGATTCAAATTTTAAAAATTCAAATATAAAGAATTAAAAAGAAATTCCAAGGGCAAAACAGGTGTAATAGAAAATGAAATAAAATTGGACCCAATTCAAAAACAGCTGAATTTTTTGGACCTGAATCAAAATGCCCCTCGAAAATATAACTTTAGCCTCTTAAAATTTAATTTTCTCATTTACTCAAATAAAAATCATTTACTAGATTCTACATCAGCAAATTCATTAATTATGTTAGACTTAACACATTTAAAATTTTGTGAGTGCCTAAAATACCCTTATTTGAATGTTTAATGTATATAGCATATGAACACACACAAAGTGTGAAAAAAAAATTTTATTTTTGTTTTTGAAATAGAAGGAGAGAGGAAGAGAGTGATATAGAATGTGGGAGTGGGACATTTTTTTTTTTTAATTAGAGATATGTTAGGATTACATGTAGGTGAGGTTTTGAAAAAAAAAACAGCAAAATTTGGTTGTGTGAAATTACATTTATGCCCCATATTTCTTATTTATGTTCTGTTTTAATTAGAAGGTTAAATGGGTAATTTCATAGGATTTTGGTTGACAATGAGTGTTTTATTAATTAGTAGAGATAATTAATGTCATGCGAATTATAAGGGAGAATTAATGATTTTATTAAAAAAAAATTAGGGTTTTTTAGATATAGATTCATACAACTTTTATTTCTTAGATAAAAATCCATCTAATTCAAAACATTCAAATTTTAAAAGGACTGCCAAATAAAAAGGTAATTGAACTATTATTATAAAATATTTACAACTTGTGCCACAATATTCAAATCAAATCAATAAATATTATTATTTACCTTACTTATAATGAACAAATAACTATTGCACATATACATATATATATATATATATACCTATATTTATATAGTACTTGTCACAACCCGTCCCGGAATTTTAATTCCGAGGACGTGAAGTTATGAAAATGCCCTTAAACGGGACTAAGGGGCGTAAAATATGTTGTAACTTGATGATTTGGGGATTGGGTAGGATCCCACATCCCTCAAATCTCTCCCCCATTTCTGCATCTTGTCTCTCTCTCTCTCCTCCCTCACAAATCTCAGAGTTCTCTCTCTGTCTCTCTCTCTCTCCTTCGAACTCACACAGACCACCCACAAACCACCCTAAAACTATACCAACGAAGGATCTAAGACCACCATCGTACTCCTGAGGACCACACGAACACGATGGTACCAATTTCAGGTGAGTTTCACTTCGGAAAACATGGATTTCAATTTTACTGTGCGTGTGCACTGTTCATGCACACGTAAAGCTTGATGTTTTTGGGATTTTGAAGCTTGTAGGAAGCTTGGTGAGGTCCTAAGGAAGCTCGGAGTGCTTCGTTTGAAGAATTTGGACGTCGGGATAGCTTGGTTCAAAGTTGGCCGGAGCTTTCGAGGCTTTTTCCGGCGAATCCACGGCGAGTTAGGGGTCAAGGCAGGTATGGATGTGTTCGTCTCGTCAATACCTTCATTTTGATATAAAGTACGTCGAAAATGGTTAAAAAATGAAGAAGTTATGACACTTTGAAGTTTACCCAGAAATTCCGGCAAAACACCCACCTCCGGCGAAACCAGTCCGGCGACGCGAGGAAGAAGACGCGCGCGTGGGCAGCGCGTAGATTGGGCGAGTGAGGGCGCGTGGGACCTCCAAATTGAGTTCTGAAAATTGTCACGCGTTCGTGACGTCGTGTAGATCACCGTGGTATATTCACACACCCAAATCGAGCAACGTATGAGAAAGTTATTGACGAATATTTGGTGTATGCGCGTTAAATAACGTCAATTTGGTTACTTTTTGTATAGGTGAAAATTATACAGAAGAAGAATGTAACCAATCTAGGGGAGGCTCAGGGACCCACGAGACGTCGATGTGATCAGTGAGTGGGCAGTTATTTTTCAGTATATAAATATATACGTATGCTTGACGTATTTCTCAGAAAACGTATTTTAAAAGAAATACGAATTAAATATCCTGTCATATATGCATCATATTTTAATATGTGCATTACCATAATTATGCATACTGTTGCATGGTGCTGAGGAGGCCCAGGTAAGCTACATTTGAAATACCTTGAAATACATTTGAGATACGTACGAAATACATTTGATATACGTACTAAATACATTTGATATACGTATGAAATACGTTTGGAATACGATTGAAATACTATCATCACATGCATTAGTAGTGGCATACATTTATATATGCGTATTTGGTGCTGTGGACGCACAGGTAAGTGCCAGGTAAGTGGTATTCATGTTTGTATTCAGTAGTAGCTTGAGATGCTTAGAGAGCTCATAATCTGCACCCCCGGTGTTAGTGCTCCCGCCCGTGGCCAGGGCATAGCCTTCACGTGATGTTCACCTCCCGCACCACACGCTCAGCTTGAATCCAAGTTAGGTGCACAGCCTGTCGTACAGACCACATTAGGTGGTTCCGACTCGTAGGTGACCCGCGATTTATCGCATAGCTTCACGTGATCGTAGCACTAGAGCGTATATATATTTTACACCAAGCCTGTCGTACAGACCACGTTAGGTGGTTCCGACTCGTGTGCAGATTCAGTTATTGAGTTGAGATTGGAGCTCTATATGCAGCCGTACAGGTCACGTTAGGTGACTCCCGGCTGCCAGATTATATGTTATTGATATGAGTTATGCTTGAGCACTTACATTTCATTATGAGTTTCCGACATGGCATATTCTTGAGCATGAATGATATACCCTTGAGCATGTTTGGCATATCTATACATACGTATATATGTTTATTTTCTGGGAAGTATACTTGTTTTACGGCGAGGGGTTAATATATTCAAAGAGAAAAGAAGGTTTTGAATAAGTTTGTTTTACTGACCCACTCAACTTTGTTTTGCGCCCCTCCAGGTTTAAGATATTAGAGCTTGGTGGCTACGAGGAATCCAACGGTGTTCTGACAGAATGGACAAAAATTAGGACTCACTTTTGGGTGTTTCATCTTAGAAATTGTATCTTTAAAGCTTCCGTACTGTGTAAATGGTTACGTCACTCTCACGTGACGGCCAGCATGCCCTCCTTCGGGACGGGGTGTGTCAGTACTACTATCTGTTCAAATATATATATGTGCAGCACTAACATACATGTTAAAAAATTATTATTATGTAATCAATTTACCCTTAAGTAAATTTATGATTAGCAAATAATATATTTTGTAGGTAAATTAGTATTAAATAAAATAATATTGTTGCAGGTAAATTATTTTGCATATATTGGGTTTGTTTATATGTAAATAATTTTTCATGTATTTTACATATACAGGGTAACTTATTTTGAGCAATCTAATATTCTAAAATTTTAATAGTAGGTGCACTATTTGAATCAAATAACATTATATTTTTAGGTAAATTATTTTGCATGAATTTTTACATATATTAGGCATTATATATATGTGTGTGTGCGCGCGCGCGCGTGTGAAATAATTTATCTACATTAAGGTGACATCCCACATCGCCCAAGGAAGTGATCCTTAAATGTATTTCCCATCCCTACCTAGCACGAGGCCTTTTGGGAGCTCACTGGCTTCGGGTTCCATGGGAACTCCGAAGTTAAGCGAGTAGCGCACGAGAGCACTCCCAGGATGGGTGACCCATCGGGAAGTTCTCGTGTGAGTTCCCAGAAACAAAACCGTGAGGGCGTGGTCGGGGCCCAAAGCGGACAATATCGTGCTACGGTGGTGGATCGGGCCCGGGTTGTGGTGGGGGCCCGGGCCGGGATGTGACATTAATATGTAAAATATAATTTTAGTGACTTAATTAAGCATGTATATATATTAGACATGTTTTATTGTTATTATTTATTAGGCAATGAATTTATAACATTAAACTTTTTTGTGAAAATATGACTTTAGCCCTTCAAACTCAATTTTCTTCATATAAAACCCTACATAACCTTTTTACTCAAAGAAAACCCAATGACTAGGATCCACATAAGCAAATTCATTAACTTCATATTAATTCACACATTTTACATTTTTCACATGCCTAAAATACCCCTATTACATACTTGATGTAGACAATTAATTGTAAGGAAATAGTAAATGATTTTGCAACAAGAAAAAAAAAAGACATTAATGTTAAAAATTTATTGCATATTACTTTTTTAGAAAGGTTTTGAATTTTCATAAAACTATTCGATTTAGTTTTTTCACCCTACTATTGAATACTTTTGAATTTATCCTTCTTTTATTAATATATTAGAACATTGTATTTCATTATCTACATGCACTTTTGTTTACCTACGAACAATTATACCATGGGTGTAATATAATATCTCTTTTTTACAATGATGCAAAATAATGTTTATACCAACAACAAAACGTGCCTAACATATTTACTAATACATGGAAAATAATTTACCTATATTAAGAAGAAATGTAGTCCGATGCATAGTATTAAAAATACTATGTTACACCCATGTTTATACAACAATAAACCGTGCCTAACATTCCTAACAATACATGAAAAATAATTTACCTACAAGTTAGAGAAATGTTATTTGGTTGGGTGTAGTATAAATTTTTTTAATAATTGGAAAAATTAAATATAACTAGGTGTAGTGTAATTTTTTTTTATATAATTAGAACAAATTAATTTACCTACCTACTCTTTGAAATGTTCATTTCCAATGAAAATGTTCATTACCTAACTACAAATTAATTTCCAATAATTTACCTACAACAATTATACCATGGGCGTAATGTAATATCTTTCTTTACAATGATACAAAATATTGTACGTACCAACAACAAAACTTGCCTAACATAAGTACTTGTACATGGAAAATAATTTACCTGTAACAAAAGAAATGCAGTTTGATGAATAAAATCAACAATATTATGTTCCATTCATGTTTATACAACAACAAAACGTGTCTAACACATATAAAAATACATAGAAAATAATTTACCTAGAAGTTAGAGAAATGTTATTTGATTCAAAATATATAATATAGGTGTAGTATTTTTTTTTTAAATAATTGGAACAAACTAATTTACCTACCAATTAATATGGATAAAATTGCTACAAAATATATCACAAAAAAAAAAAAAACTACTTTTCTAGTTTGCAATAGATACGGTTAATGCAAACATTTTTTTCATTTTATTTCACTTTTTCTACTACTTTTAATTTGACATAAATTTAGGAATTTGGAAAAGAGACCATAAAGTATGAGTGGCATGAGTGTAAATAAGTTGTATTAATAGGTCAATAGTGTTCCTATATGTTTACAAATTTTAAATTTGAGCTTAAACTGGATTTGTAAAGATAGATTAGTTTTTATCTAGAAATAATGAATTGTAAGCGCCAAAATCTAAAGCATCCTAATAATAATGATAGGATTGATTCCTCTTCTTATTTATAAAGAAAGAAATTGACCATTCTACTTTCCAGTTCTCTCTATCTACTGTGTGGTTTAAGCAGATCGGCAAAAGCTTGAAGATGAACGACCAGTAAGTCAACTTCAACTTCAAACTCCTCCGATCCTGGTTTTTATTTAAATCCTTTGTCACTGACTTTTCTTTTGTTGTCTTGATTAAGCGGACAATGTTTTGGAATGGCTAAATACAACAATCAAAAGTTCTTATGGTTAAATCTGGAAAAGAAACTTACAAAACGCTTTTGGATAGATAATATAAGCTCTTTCCGAGAAGCCACCTTCAACAAGCACTTCTAAGTTTTCGAGTGCATTTTCGAAGAACACCTGCATATTTAATAAATATTTCTATATGTTCATCGTAAAAGAGAAGTTCCTATGAGTAAAGTGTTTCCGGTGAATACAAGAGTTTAATAATCGTCCTTATAGTTTACCAAAGTGGAATTTTATTCTTACAAGTGTTTTGCTAAACTGGCTTCATTAGAAATGCATTTCTTTAGAAAGCACTTAGGGTTCGTGTGAAAGTGCTTCCTACATGAAGCACTTTAAATGCTTTTCAAAGATTCATTTGTGTTTTTACAAAGGATTGGCTGTAAAAGCACTCTCATCAAAAGTGATTTCAATCATTTTAAAAACACTTTCAAACATTCATATACACTTCAAGTTTTTTTGCTAAATGTAGTCAAAAGTACTTTTGATTAAACTGACATAGGACTTTCGAATCCGGAACGCATGGAAAGAAATCCAACACCATGTCCAGGATATTGGACGGATGGTGTCATTACATCCTCCGTTTAACTTTGCTTTCAATTTTTTGTTGGTGATGACAGAATTAGCAGTGCTGGGCTTGAACTAGCAAATGTGCTGGTGACTTCTCCTCTCCTGCACCAGTCATGGAACGCGGTTCTTGATCAGAAGCAAAAGCTACCCCCAGCAGCTGATCCGAACCAAAAAATGGCCTTAGACATTAGTGAAACCAAGCACTCAAACATCACCATCATATCTTTTCTTGCTTCACCTGTCACGCTTCAAAATCGACAAGTGATCATTTCGTTGACTCCCAAGGACACATATTTTCCGCTCTTCGAGTTTTTGTGTAACAAAAACACCCCAAGTTTCACCGTCAATGAATTGGCAATCACCTTATTCGCCTTGAATCACAACCGCCTCGTTCGTCTGCGAACAAGGGTGCGTATTGTTGTCTCTCTGATAACTCATAATGTTTAACCGCTTTGATGACTATTAATGTTAGTGAGAAACAGTTAAAAGTCAAATTTATAATGTTGGATTACATTTCACTTAATTAGTTTGGCTTCTTTAATAAACAGTTAATGTTAGCGAGGAACACTTACAAACCCCTCATTAATAGTGTTACAAGAGCAGAATGTAGCAACAGTCGAGTCCTTTTTGTTTTTGGTTTCATAACCGAGTTTTAACTGTTTTTTTATTATGAATGGAGTTCGGAGGAACTTATTTGTAAAGACGTCCCCGAATTGATTATATAGCAGTTCAGTAATTGACTTTTACGTAATATTTTAGCTGGTAGAAAGCAGCAAACCCGACTCATTGATACTTATCACCGGGCATTCATTTGGAGGCTCTGTGGCTACCCTTTTCACCTTATGGCTGCTACAAAGCCTCGACTTGTCGAAAGCGAAACGCCCCCTTTGCATCACTTTCGGTTCACCCTTGATCGGTGACGAACAACTCCGACAATGTGTGTTGGAATTCTCAACATGGAGTTCTTGCTTCTTGAATATAGCCTCCATCAATGATCCTGTACCTAAAGTCTTCCTAACTTCGCAACCGAGTGGTTATAAGCCTTTCGGAACATTCCTACTGTGCTCCTCTTCGGGTGGTTCTTGCTTTGAGGACCCTGATGCCATTTTGCAACTATTGGTGGAAACCAGCTCTCAGAGTGCTCAAATTCAAGGTTTTGATTACGGACAGATTTTAAATGATCTCAAGATTAAGGCATTTTCTAGAGATATCTTTGAGTTGGTTGAAGAGGATAGAGTTCCACTTAAAGCTGGAATCAAAACACAGTTGGCAGCAATATTAGGAGTTCTCAGCTCACAGGTATCAAACTTTCAACAGAAATATCTGATTTGATGATGATTTTGGGAAATGGTTTCCGCACAAACCTGTTTATTTTCATCTCTTGATTCTGCTTTGATTTATTCAAGGAGAGAATACGAGTTTTGCGGAAATCACATCCCATGTTTACTTCTACCTACTAACTTTTCTCTCAACTCCTTTTGTAAAAGTCATTGCAGCAGCAACAACCCAACATAGAATTCGAAAGTCTGATAAAAAAGATGGTCAGTCACGAACGTAAACTAGTGATCCAGAAGACGAAGGTTTACAGTTCTTTCTTGAAATTGAATGAGGCTAAAAAGGACATGGCCAACATGGAATGGTACAAGAAGCATTCCAAGCACAAGGGAATTGGATACTATGACGGGTACAGAAACAAGCGTTTCTGGACAGACATAATTGCCGAAGAAGGCAAGAAAAAGCTCTCGAATTTCTGGTTCAGCATGGTTGCAGAAATTGAGAGCAAGCCCCAGAAAGAAGAAGCCGCAATGCGTATCCATTTTCTTTCTGCTGGAACGAATTACAGAAGGATGATCGAACCGCTTCACATTGCAGAGTACTACAAGGAAGGCGGAAAAGATTACAAAAAGGAAAGGCCTCGACATTTCGTTCTTTTGGAGCAATGGTTCAATGAAGAGGAGAAAAAGGAGGAGGAAAAGAAAGAGAGGGAAGAGAGGGAGGACCTGCAACTGCGCAGTGCAAGCAAGTCCAACTCAAAAGCGAAGAGTGTGGCTTCTAGTCTGAATGATGATTCTTGTTTTTGGGCGCACGTCGAGGAAGCGCTTATCTGGTGCAACGAACAAGCGATTAATCCAGACGCCAAGCCAATGCCCGAATTTGAGCTTTACGTTCTGAATGCGCTCCATAATTTCGCAGTGTCACCTGATATTTTCTTGGCGCAGAGCAGCTTCATGCGATGGTGGAACAAGTATAAAAAGATTGTGGGAAGTAGCTACTCCTCAGAACTCACAGATGTCATGAGGCGTCGCACTTATCTCAATTATGCGGATGGGGTCTCGGTTCTTGCTGGTCTTAAGCCAAGATAATTAAGTTTTAAGCAAGCAATTAAATCAGATAAAGCAAGATTAGTTTTGCTGTATCGCTCATGATCTTCACAGAGAGACGGGCGGTACTCGCAGGACTTCTTGGTGCTACTACGTCTGAATGTTTTTGTTTGTGGTTTCTTTTTGAGTGGGGGTTTTGTTTCCATTATAATGTTTGTAATTTCCACTTCGTAAAAGCAATGACACTTGTTTTTTGTTACACCAAAAGTGAGAGCTACTCCAATCAACAATTGTAATAAATTGAGACTGGCTTTGATCATGGTTCATGTTGTATTAATCTTCAATGCTAAATCCAACCACCAAGAATCATGTTAATGCATCATCCGGAGGCTCGCATTCAACTAAAAATGCCCAACAAGCTTTCCAATTGTTTGACAGCATGGCAAAAGAGTCTCAACAATGGGCAGCTGATCAAACACAAAGCAGCAGAGCTTTCAAGATGTCATTCGGATCGTCACATGTACAAGTTCAAATAGAGAAGATGGAGAAAAAGCTTGAATAAATTTATGAAAAATTTGACTGTTCTTGCAGAAAATGGCAGCACCAGTTCAGCTGGTAGCGCCATTTGCAGCATGCCCAAACATGATATTATGGACTGCCCACATAAGGATACATATCCCATCTTCGTAGCTGAGCAAGTTAATGCATTCAACAATTATCAGAGGCCCAGAAATGATCCTTACACAAATTTTTATAATCTAGGATGCAAAGGTCACCCGAATTTCAAGTGGGCTGATAGCCTGATAATCAACCGGCCAAAAACAATTCCAACAGCAAGTACAGCAACTTGCCGCAGCAGCAAAGGCCTCCTTGTGTTTGAATTAATGCACTACCCTAAATGTTAAGACTATAGACTTTCCCGAGAACAATTATTCCAGAGTTATTGTATTAGAGTTCCTAGACTATGTCTGTTAAGTTGTCTAGGAAGAACTCTCTAGTACTTTGTATTCTCTTTATATAGCCTTTGGCATATCATTTTGTATTAAGAGAGTTACAATAAGAAGTAATACAAGAGCTCTGCTGTAGCAACTCAGATTTCCCATAAATTTGTTAAGCATTTCCATCCCTTTACACTTCCTACAAATTGGTACCAGAGCCTAGTTCGTTCATATTTGGGCGTTCAAAACATCTCTAGCAGATGGCCTTTGGTGGGAAAGAAGGTCCATCAGTTGTTTCCTAATCTATTCTTCCAATTTTTGGAGGAGAGAACTATGATTTATGGAAGGTGAAGATGAGCACTTTGCTTCAGGAAGGACTCTGGAGCATAGTTGAAACAGGACTTGAAGAACCAGCTGCCGACACCTAAGTTCCAGTTGCACAGAGAGAAAAGCTTGATGCAGATGTAATGAAAGATGCCAGGGCTCTCTCAAAAATGCAAAACAGAGTCACTGGCAACATTTTTCCAAGAATCACGAGAGCCCAAACAGCAAAAGAAGCTTGGGAGATATTAGAAAAGGAGTTCTAAGGTGACAACAAGGTAAAAACCATCAAGCTCCAGACGTTGCGCAGGGAGTTCCACAATTTGAAGATGAAGGAATCAGAATGCATCCAAAACTACTCTTCCAGAGTTGTTGAAGTGGTGAATCAAATTAGAACACTTCGAGAAGAGATGTCTGACTAGCAAGTTGTTGAGAAGATCTTGATTAGCTTGCCAAAGGAATATGATTCGATTATTTCAGCCATGGAAGAGTCGAAAGACCTCACCACGTTATCACTAGAGTAATTGATGGGTTCTCTAAAGTCTCATGAGCAAAGAAGGCTAAGAAGAAATAATGAGCAATCTGTTGAAAGTGCTTTCCAATCGAAGCTCACGTTCAAATCCAAGAAGTTCTTCAAGAAAGGCAATGCATGAGATAACCAGCAAGGTGGGGAGCAAAGAAAATGGAAGTAAGGCGAGTCTAGCAAAATAGATGATGCCAAAAGCACTAAAGGTAATAAGCCTTTTTTTACAAGATTTGTAATAAAAGTAACCATGATACAGCTGATTGTTTTAACCGCAGAAAGCCAAAGTGTTATTATTGCAACAAATTTGGACATGTTGAAAAGGAATGCAAATTCAAGAATTCTAATCAAGCAAATTTTACGGAGAAGGATTATGCAAAAGAAGGAATTTTATTTTATGCTGGTCAATCAAAATCCGGAGAAGGAAATATGTTTGGTACGTGGATAGCAGTTGCAGCAATCATATGACATCAAATGAAAAATTATTTGTTGATCTGGACGCTAGAAAATTATTTGTTGATCTAGGACACTTCCATTACTCCCAGAATAAAGATGGGAGATGATTATTATCACCAGCGTTGGGGAAACGCACTGTTCCCGTCCAAACAAAAAGGGGAGTCAAATATATCCGTGATGTCCTGCTTGTTCCAAACATAGCTCAAAATTTATTAAGTGTTGGGCAACTTACGCGAAATGGCTACAAAGTTGTTTTCGAAGATGAGGATTGCACTATTTATGACAAGAATGATAATGAGCAGCTCGTTGCATCGGTTCCGATGGAGACAAATCAAACATTTCCTCTTTCAATGCACTGTGGAAATGAAGTTTCTTTGAAGGTTGATGCTGTGCAAGACTCTTGGTTGTGGCACAAGCGGTTTCGTCATCTAAATTTCCAGGGGCTAAAGCTTCTCCAGAAGAAAAGCATGGTGAAAAGGTTACTGGAAATTGAAGCAACAACAGAAGCTTGTGAATGGTGCGTTATGGGTAAGCGGCACCGTAATTCATTCCCAAGTCAAAGTACGTGGAGAGCAAAGGCACCGCTGGAACTTGTGCATATCGATATTTGTGGCAAAATGCCAACTCTTTCCTTAGGCCATCACAGATACTTTCTTACGTTCATTGATGATTTTTCAAGAATGACATGGGTTTACTTTTTGAAGGAGAAATCAGAAACTTTCACTGTCTTCAAACAATTCAAAGCTTTAGTAGAAAAGCAAAGTGGTTGCAGCATCAAAATCATTTGAAGTGATTGAGGAGGCAAACATACCTCTCATGAATTTGAAGACTACTGCAAAGATGAAGGCATTTGGAAGCAATTGACAGCAGGGTATAGTCCCCAGCAAAATGGGATTGCCGAAAGAAAGAACCGAACGATCGTGGAGATGGCTAGATCTATGATGAATGATAAAGGGCTACCAAAAAGTTTTTAGGCAGAAGCTGTGTATATAGCAATATACATTCTTAATAAATGTCCAACCAAAGCCGTGAAGAACAAAACTCCATTTGAAGCTTGGAGCGGATTCAAATCTTCGATGAGTCATTTCAAAATTTTTAGCTGCATTTGTTATGCTCATATTCCCGCTGAAAAGAGAACTAAGCTTGATGAAAAAACCCAAAAATGTATCTTTCTTGGCTATTGTTCCAGCACCAAAGGTTATAGGCTTTATAATGTTGAAACTAAGAAATTGATTGTGAGTAGAGATGTGATTTTTAATGAAAAAGCTAGCTAGGATTGGAATGAAAATTAAGTGCAGGAGATGCCATATGCAATTGTGCAAGAAGAAAGTGAAATTCCAAGAGAGTAGTAGCAAGAAGAAGTCACGCCTCAGACTCCAGTAGTTGCTAGAAGAAGAAGTTCAAATGATGCTGGAAGTAGTTCGAATGCAGAACCTATTTCTCCAAACTACTCTTCATCAGAAAGTCCTCCATTAAGAACTCGGAGTTTGCGAGAAGTGTATGAGACTTGCAATTTTGTTGGTGTAAAGCCGGAAAGCTTTGAAGAGGCACAAAATCATGAAATATGGGTGAAAGCCATGAAGAAAAAGATGAGAATGATCGAGAAAAATCAAACATGGGAGCTGGTTGATTATCCGCAAGATAGAGATGTCATAGATGTGAAGTGGATTTTCAAGACGAAATTCAATCAAGATGGGAGCATTCAAAAGCACAAAGCTAGGCTTGTGGCAAGAGGCTTTACTCAAAAGCTAGGTATTGATTTTTCTGAGACCTTTGCTCCAATTGCACGGTTGGAAACTACTTAGAACTTTGATTGCTCTTGTTGCTCAAAAGAATTGGTTGATTTATCAACTTGATGTGAAGTCTGCATTTTTGATGGAGTGTTGGAAGAAGAAGTTTATGTTAAATAACCCCGAGGTTTCATGCTTGAAGGGGGAGAAGACAAAGTTTACAAGCTAAAAAAGGCCCTTTACAGGTTAAAGCAAGCACCTCGAACGTGGTATGCTGAAATTGATAAGTATTTTGCCAAACGTGATTTCGAAAAGAGCCAAAGTATGTTTTGAAAGAGGAGCATCCATTCTCATTGTTTCCTTATATGTGGATGACTTAGTCTTCACTGGAAATGATCAAAGTTTATTACAGCAGTTAAGATAGATATGATGAGCACCTATGAGATGAGTGATATGGGTTTGCTTCATTATTCCTTGGGAATTGAAGTTTCTCAAACCCGCTGCAAAACAATGGCTACTCCTTTGATGCTGAATGAAAAGATGAAGAAATGTGATGGTGCAAAGAAAGCAGATGCCACAAAGTATCGAAGTTTGATCGGTAGTCTTTTATATCTCACTGCCACTTGGTCGGATATCATGTTTGCTTCAAGTATGCTTTTAAGATACATGGAGGAACCAAGTCAACTTCATTTTGGTGCCGGAAAAAGGGTGTTAAGATATGTGTAGGGCACGCTTGACTATGGAATTATGTACAATGCTGAAGCACGAAGTTCAAGGCTTATCGGGTACACCAATAGTGATTGGGCTGGATGTCTTGATGACATGAAATGTACGTCGGCTTACATTTTCTCTCTTGGCTCAGGGATATGTTCTCGGCGTACAAAGAAACAAAGTGTGGTGGCACAATCATCTGCCGAAGCAAAGTATGTGGTAGCAGCAAAAGCAGCATCCGAAGCCCGTATGGCTTCGAAGAATTCTTGAAGATATCGGAGAAAAGCAAGAAAGAGGCACTGTATTGTATTGTGACAACAAGTCAGCCATTGCAATTGGCAAAAATCCTGTCAATCATGATCATACCAAGCATGTTGCAATCAAATATCATTTTGCCAGAGAAGCTGTTGAGAAGAAAGAAATTCAGCTTGAATATTGCCGAACGGATGAGTAGCTAGCGGACTTACTCACCAAGGCACTTCCGAAAGAAAAGTTTTGCTACCTCAGAGAGCTCATTGGAGTTGTGGAGAAAGTGCATTAAGGGGGAGTGTTGGAATTAATGCACTACCCTAAATGTTAAGACTCTAGACTTTCCCGAGAACAATTATTCTAGAGTTATTGTAATAGAGTTCCTAGCCTATGTTTGTTAGGTTGTCTAGGAAGAACTCTCTAGTACTTTGTATTCTCTTTATGTAGCCTTTGGCATATCATTTTGTATTAGGAGAGTTACAATAAAAAGTAATACAAGAGTTCTGCTGTAGCAACTCAGATTTCCCATAAATTTGTTAAGCATTTCCATCCCTTTACACTTCCTACACCTTGGAGATTGCACTTGAAAATTAGCAGACAATACTCAGACGAACTTTGAGAAAAACAGTCAGGAAATCCAAAATATTCAAGCAATAATGAAAGATTTGCAACAGCAGATTCAGCTGGCAATGCAACATGCAGACAGATAACCTGGAAAATTTCCTAGCCAAACTGTCCCGAACCCCAGAGGAACAGAGGATTGTTGTGCTGTTCGCACTTTACGTTGTGGAAAAAGTTATGATAATATAAATTATGAAGACCAGCAGTCAAGCATGATATTGCACAACCAACAATAGAAATTGCAACAGAATCAGCAGCAAATCAGCCCACCATTGTTGGTTTTGCAATATCATGCTTGGCTACTGCGTCTTCATCATTTTCAGGTTCTGCCAGAACCCGAAACTGCTCCAGAACCTGCCCCTGAACACCTATGTGCCCTGTATGCCATACCCAGAACGGTTGATTCCTAAAGCTAAGGATCAGCAACTTAAAGGCTCTATGCAAAATTTGGTTAAGGTGCAGATTAACTTGCCATTATTGGATGCAATAAAGAAAATTCCATCCCACACTCAACTGTGTAAACCGAAAACTCACGATTGCTATTACAAGAATTGCAAATCCTTACGGGCACCCAATATTCTTCCAGAATTTATAGCCGGACAATTAAAGAACAGAGTTTCATTTGGCAAAGCAATGAAAAGAGCTATTGAATTAACTGAACATGCAGATACAAAAGGGATTCAAGTACAAATTACAAGGCACATCGACGGAAAAGAAATTGCACGTGTTGAATGGATTCGAGAAGGCAGCGTTCCTCTACAAACCATTCAAGCTGAAATTGATTATAGCCTAAGCTGTTGGAACTATCTATGGGGTATTAGGCATCCAATTTGGATATTTGTAGACAAGGAATAATAAGAACATTAACTTATATTTAGTTATATCGGGTGATAAAACAAAAAACGACAAACTCTTTCGTCTTTTTATTGCTAAATAAAAAAGCCAATTTTTGTAAGGACATTTGCAGTAGAAAGAAGAGAGTTTTAACGAAAAGCCCACGATACTGTTCACTTTAACGAAAAACCACATTTTTAAACAAAAAAGTCAATCCTGGTACTATTCACTTTACCCTTTATTTTGTCCTTATCGTTAAAACTCGAAATTTTCAAGCCCTTTTCATTAGTTTATTTAGAAAGAAGCTTGCGGAGTTTGAAAAAGTGGTGCTAACAAAGCAATGCAGCGCGGTCTTACTGCACAAATTACCTCCACAGAAGAAGGATCCAGGAAGTTTTACAATCTCTTGTACAATTGGAAAATGTGGTATTAATCGTGCTTTAGTAGATTTGGGTGCTAGCGTGAATTTACTGCCTTACTCTGTGTATAAGCATTTAGGCGAGGGAGAATTGAAGCCAACTTCAACTATTATTCAATTGGCATATTGCTCAATTACCTATCCTAGAGGAATAATTGAAGATCTCATTGTTAAGGTTGGCAATTAATATCTGCCTGCTGATTTTATTGTTTTAGACATGGATGAAAATTTGGAAACACCCGTCACTTAAGGCAGACCATTCATGGCAACAACCCGCACTCTTATTGATGTTGAATCTGGAATGCTCACGTTACAAGTTCATGATCAGTCAGTTGTGATCAGTTTATTCGAAGCAACCAAGCACCTTCCATAGCAGCAAGAGTGCATGCTTGGTGATGTGTTGGATGGTTTGGCTCATGCCAAGTGCAAGACCAGATCGCCAACAGACCATCTGCCCGTAAAGCCGCCAAGTTTGATTCATGATTTCAGATGTTCTAAAACACAGAAGCAGACACTCCAGCCTTCTGAAGTGCAGCCACCAAAATGGGAATTCTAGTTGTCAGACAATCGAGGAGATATGAAAGTTCAATTACAGCACAAAATTTTCAAATGGAAGTTTCACACAGCCAAAATCGCAGAAAAGAAATTCAGCTTGGTAAAAAGGTTTGCTTGTTGGATTCAAGGTTCAGTTTATTTTCAAGAAAGCAGCAGTATCTCTGGCAAAGGCCTTATTTAGTTACGAAAGCTTGTCACAATGCAAACGTCGACATTAAAAGTTAAGCTACGGGTTTTGAATTCAAGGTCAACAAGCATCCACTCAAGTTATCATACAACAATGCAAGCGAGTCAGTGACCCTAAAGAAACAAGTGACTTGACCACCAGCTTATTGCTCTGTCTAGCTATAAAATTTAAACAAGTATCCTCGCCGGATCCTGTAATCGTGTCAGTTCATCGTACATCGTGCGATCAGTTTTCGTTAAATGCTATTTATATTTGAATTTTAAATGATTTCTGACTGCCAGATGTACGATGAACGGACACAATGTATGTTATTACATTGTGTAAAGCTGGTTTTTATTTTTTCATACTTTTATTATTATTTTATTAGCTTCCGCACTGTGCACTTGGTTACGTCACTTCCACGTGACGGCAGTCAAAATGAAAATAAAATGATGTGGACTATGAGTCACTGGACTTAAACTAGTAGTTAAATAAAATTGGACTATATCTAGTAACAAATTTGGACTTATTTCAAGTTTCCCTTAAAGTGGGGGTACTTTCTTCTTTTCCTTTCCTAGTTTATTTTCTGTCTGATAGATGCTTTTAAATTTGTTATGCTTAGGGCATAGTCTTTTAATTTTCTTGTCTTATATATATATTTTTTTCTTTTAAGTTTGGGGTGGGAAAGCAAAATTTTAGATTTTAATTTTTGAGTCCGTTAAATATTTTTACACTAAGAGGATGGGGAGTTTGGCTAAACCACACAATGAGCAGCCTAAGTTGGTACCGAATTTGCCATCCACGAGACTCGAACCTAAGACCTCTTATTTCCAAGTGAAGAGGAATACCATCAAACCATAGTATTGAGTGACAATTTATTTTAAGTTAATTTTCATAGATTATTAACTTATATAATAATAATCTCTATATGATAGTCAATCTCTATATGTTTGGTTACAGATGTACTGAACTTTGATTCCTTTTAAGTTAAAAAGCTTCAATCTTTTTAAGTTACAGATATGTTGAACTTTGATCAAGTGAGCCAAGACAAGTTCCCTTATATAATGATGGTCAATCTCTATATGTTTGGTTTTGGCATGGAACACTAGATTTGAAGCAAGAGATATGGTTGAAATGTTATCACACCAAAGTTGAGGAATATGTGGTAAATTGAAGCCTATATCACAAAAAAAAATCTTGCAAATCCATGTGATTTCACCTGTTGTGTGAGCCAGAGAACGATATTCAACTTGTTGAGGATCTTGCAACCGTAGATTGCTTCTTTGCACTCCAGCATATGAGATTGGATCCCAAAAAAAATACAAGAACCACTTATAGAACTTTTATTAAAAAAAAATACAACATGCCCAATCTGCATTGAGTATGCATTAAGATGTGTTGGACCTTTGTTGAACCATAAACCATGAGATATTGAGCCCTTAAGAAATCCTAGGATTCTTTTTGCAGGGAAAATGGATTTCTGGCAGGCGGATTCCTGGTCCCCAAAGAAAGAAAAAGAAGAAATGCCCCCGTTCACACCAATTGTTTGCAACGATTCAAGTTGCGGGATAATATTTTTTTTTTTTTTTTTTTTTTTTTTTTTTAATTTTTAATTATTTTATTTTATTTATTTATCTTTGGATCATTGCATTGTAATTACGCTCCTGTCGGGAGCCATGAGCGTGATTGGCGCGATATTTTGTTTAGAGAAAGCATCTTCTTGGCTAGTCAATTACAAAGTCAATATATTAATTTTGAAGTTCCCCAGAGAGCAGCTTTGCAATTTGCTTGGTCAGTCAATGCTATTATTGTTGATATAGTCGATATTATAAAGTTTAAAATGTCAAAATATGTTTGGTGGTGTGCTTGATTGTAAGTGCAACAGTAAAATGAATGGTTAAATATTCATCATTGGTTTAATTGAATTAATAGTCTCTACGAGGATAGGATAGTTGGAAGATAATCTTTATGGTGAAAAAAAGTTAAGATTTAAGCCCATATCTGGCTAGTCTGGCATTTTCTCTGGAGTCTGGCTACTGGTATTTTCTCTTACATCTCTCTTCCCTCTAGTCTGGCTACTAGTATTTTCTTTTGCATCTCTCTTATTTATTTCCCTCCTTTTTATCTCTTCTTTTTTATTTCTCTCTTTCTTTCAACTTTTCTTTCTTTTCCCCTGGATGTTTCCCACCTCACTTCTTTCATTTATTCTTCAATCCTTCTCTTTAATGGGTCAAAGTCGTCAAGTGAATAATAAATTTTAATTATCGTTGCAAGTCATGTTTTTTTATCAAATAGTAAATTTTGTTAAATTAAATGTTAAATTAATTATCAATGGATTTTGAACCCACATCATTATGTAAAGGCTTAACATTTTTCCATGCTGTTACGAAGTCATCATTTATACTATTTTTTTAACGAGAGCGTTCACACTGTTCTTGTAACACGATTGTCTTTCTTCATGCTTTTGTCTCATTCCGAAACTTGCCTTCACAATTTAATGGACAAAGAAACAATAATTTCCTACAAAAATACAACTTTGGTCGGCCACCACCTGCAATATGGTTGGTGGGTTATCTCTCTCACCATGAAGCTTCCTAGACATGGTGATACAGTTTCCTGATTAATTTCCAAGTCTCCCTCCACAATCAATCAGTTACTGTTAAAGTCAACGCGCTCCAACTCCGAAATTTCTATCGTGCTTAAATAGTAAGTATTTCTATGCTAAAACCCAGATAGTTTGGAGAAGAATCTTGCATGATCACCAACAACGTAAGGGAAAATCAAACTTTGTGTTGCTTGTTTTCTGAGACTCTTTATTTTGGGTTCCAAATTTAAGTGTCGCACTTTTCCACAGTTTCTAATCTGTTATTTTCTATTGCCGTAAATTTTAGATTGCAACTTTTGTAAGTTTTTCTGAATTTGGAGTTGGTTTTTGTAGACGACATGCTCGAGGTAGTATTCAGTGAGTTGTATGAGCTCCTCAAGGAGCTGATCACCAAGAATTTGATGTTTAAGGCCCTCCTCAAACACATCAAGTCCAGTTTAGACGATTTGGAGCCATTGTTGAAAGATATAGAAAATTCCAACAAGAAATTGGCTCTTCCGGCTGAGGAACTGGAAAAATTAAAAGTACATTTGGAGGAGGGTATAGGGCTCTTTCAAAAGTGCAAAAAGATTGGACGGTGGAACGTATACAAAAGGTATAAATACTCCAAAAAGCTGATTGGATGGGATGAATCTCTTCAACGACCTTTGCAAATACTAAACGTTCAGGGAATAAGGGATATGAAGGCAGGCTTGGTTGTGATGAAGAATTTAGAGAAGGCAGTCGGCATTGAACGACCCAACAGTGAATCGAGTCTGGTGGTACCTAAACTTCCGCCGCTTGTGGTTGGATTGGATCTTCCTCTAAAGGAATTGAAGGGGAAGCTTCTGAAGGACAAAAATGTGTCAATGGTTGTGCTGACTGCTCCCGGAGGATGTGGGAAAACCACTTTGGCTACAAAGTTTTGCCAAGACAAGGATGTCAAAGGTATCAACCATTATAAGTTGGCACTCTGATTTATATATGTTTTTTTTATTTTTTGTACAACTATGGCAGATTTAATTGACGCCTCAATGACAGATTTATTATGTGTTTTTTAATAGATACATTCAAGGATAATATCTTCTTTGTCACGGTTTCAAAAAAGCCTAATTTGGAAAATATTGTTCAAGATCTATATCAACGAAAGGGTTTCCGGGTACCTACTTTCCAAAGCAAAGTTAGTACAATGACGTTGCTGCAAAGTTTTCTGAAGGAGGATTGGCAGAATCCTTTTCTGATTGTCCTGGATGATGTTTGGTCTGGATCAGAAGATCTTGTGCAGACGTGTGATGAATCCGTAACGGAAAATTCCAAGTTTTTGGTGACATCTAGGAGTGAATTTCGGGGATATGGTTTCCCTCATCGTTTGCAATTATTGGATGATGACAATGCGATGAAACTTTTTCATCATTCAGCATCCCTTGGAGATAAGAGCTCTCATATTCCAAAAGATCTTCCAGAAAAGGTACTTTTTAGTTGCAACGCACAACAAGTATAGTCCAAAGTTAGTTGACTTGGTTTTGGAAAATTATCAAGAAATTACGTCGTTCACTTTATGCGAAGCATCCCCAGTCGAGTGAGTGAACACATCCATTTAACATATAAATCTGTGACTAATCATGCATTTGAGCATACTTGTGACAAAAACTAAAATTAGAATAACGTAGATAGTTATTTAGCCATTTTCTCATCTTAGTAACTTGAATTTTGGCTCTGCAACTTAAAAGGTAGTTGACTTTACTTTAGAAAATAATCCTGCAGATACTTGAGCGTTGCAAGGGATTTCCACTTGCTATTGAAGTGGTGGGGAGATCGCTTCGTGGGCAGCCTTTAGAGACATGGAAAAAAATAGTATGTAAATGGTCTAAAGGTTTTTCTCTTCTCGATTCGGAGACTCAGTTGCTTTTGTGCCTTGAAAAGACCTTGGAAGATGAAATGGTTGCCATCAAGGAATGTTTCTTAGACTTAGGTTCATTTCCAGAAGACCAAAGAATCCCTGCTACTGCCCTCATTGATATCTGGGCTGAGTTATATGATGAAGATTCAGATGTAGAGTGCGTTGCAAACCTCTACGAGCTCACCAAACGAAGTCTAGCCAATCTTGTTGTTACAAGGTTTGCATGCTTTATTTTCCCTTTATATTCACGACTGATTGATCATTGATGGCTTGATATTAATAACTTGTTATTGCAATATGTTGGTTGAAGAAATCTCTTCTAAGAAAATTAGTTTTGATGATCACCAGGAAGGACAAGATAGAGGGGGACGGGTACTATAGTGAGCACTTTGTTACCCAACATGATGTTCTTAGGGAGCTGGCCATCTACAACACAAAAAAAGAACCAGTAGAAGATAGAAAAAGACTGATTATTGACATATGTGGAGACAATCTTCCAAAATGGTGGAGAGAACAGAAGCATCAGCCGATGAAGGCCCGCTTATTATCCATAACAACTGGTCGTTCCATCTCTGCCTTTCTCTTTAGCAATTACATAGGCATGCACAAATAAATAGACATTCTTGCACACACGCATTAAGTCTTGGTAGTACCTTCATTTTAGTTTCTCCTCCCCAAACTCACGGTTGTTACTTTGCAGATGAAGGGTTTTCAACAAAATGGCACAGCATGCAAATGCCAGACGTTGAGGTTTTAGTACTGAATTTCCAGACAAAGAACTATGCCTTACCCGAATCCGTGGTGAACATGGGTAAATTGAAAACTGTAATAGTCACAAATTATGGTTTCTTACCTGCTGAATTGAGTAACTTGCAACTTTTGAGTTCGTTACCATTTCTCAAGAGAATCAGATTGGAACGCATCTCAATTCCTTCCATAACCAAGAATTCCATAAAATTGGCGAGTCTGAAGAAGATATCCTTTTTCATGTGTAAGATTGGTCAAGCTTTCAACGACTGTTCCTTCTCAATCTCGTCAACATTCCCGAATCTAGAGGAACTGAACATCGACTATTGCAGTGATTTAAAGGAATTGCCCGCCGAGGTTTGTGATCTTAGTAAACTAGAGAAGCTCAGTGTCACTAACTGTCATAAGCTATCTGCCTTGCCTGAAGGGATTGGAAAGTTGCAAAATTTAGAACTGTTGAGGCTAAGATCCAGCACAAAACTGTTGAAGCTTCCAACCTCGATGAAGAACCTTGGAAAGGTAAAGTTTCTTGACATATCTGATTGCTTCAGCATCAAGGTGTTGCCCGAAGACATTGGTGGAATGAGTAGTTTAAGAGAGATCAACATGAGACAATGCTCAAGGTTGCAAGAGCTGCCTCCATCAGTCATGGATCTTGAGCGGTTGGAGAAAGTGGTATGTGATGAAGAGACAAAATATTTATGGGAATGTTTCTCGTCGGATCTCAACAACGTAGAGATAATTGTGGCCAAAGAGAATATCAACCTAAATTGGCTCCACAAGACTCGGTTCTGATACATGTGGTTCCTCAGTGAACGTTGCTCTTCAGCTCTGTGTGGTTAATTTGTGTTTTTTAATGGTACTTTTTAGGGCTAATTTGGTATTATTGTGTTTTAAAAAAAAGAAAATTGATTGTGGTGGCTGTAAAATAAAGTATTGAATGTTTGGTAAACTTTTGTTTGTAAATTGTGCATTTAACAAAAAATAATAATAATAATTTCTGAGTGTTGAATAAACTTTTATATATAATTAGTGTGAATATATTAAATTACTAACAATGTTATTTCATGTGATATAATAATTGCCAAAAAGAATAATGAAGGGGCAAAAATTATCATTTTATAAAATATGATGTGGTATACTTGTCATTTAAAATTTTCATTAAATAGGCACTGTTTGAAAAAATAAAACACACTTTTTTAGAAGCATGGTAAACTTTGTTTCTGCTTTTTTCATACTTTTCTTGTGACATCCCACATCACCAAGGGGAGTGATTCTTAAATGTATAATCCAATCCCTACCTAGCACGAGGCCTTTTGAGAGCTCACTGGCTTCGGGTTCCGTAGAAACTCCAAAGTTAAGCGAGAAGGAGGCTAGAGCAATCCCATGATGGGTGACCCACTGGGAAGTTGCTCGTGAGTTCTCAAAAACAAAACCGTGAGGGAATGGTAAGCCCAAAGCGGACAATATCGTGCTACGGTGGTGGAGCGGGGCCGGGAAGTGATCCGCCCCGGGCCGGGATGTGACAATTTGGTATCAGAGCCTAACCCTGGCCGTGGTGTGCCGACGAGGACGTCGGGCCCCTAAGGGGGGTGGATTGTGACATCCCACATCACCAAGGGGAGTGATCCTTAAATGTATAATCCAATCCCTACCTAGCACGAGGCCTTTTGGGAACTCACTGGTTTCGGGTTCCGTAGGAACTCCAAAGTTAAGCGAGAATGAGGCTAGAGCAATCCCATGATGGGTGACCCATTGGGAAGTTGCTCGTGAGTTCCCAAAAACAAAACCGTGAGGGAATGGTAAGCCCAAAGCGGACAATATCGTGTTACGGTGGTGGAGCGGGCCCGAGAAGTGATCCGCCCCGGGCCGGGATATGACATTTCTACTGTCATTGGTCGCAATTTACTTTTCTGTTTTACCAAATGCATTTAATGTTCCAGATTTTTTAATAAGCTGTTTTTTCTAAAATCACCACAACCTTAAACTCTACTGTAACATAGTTTCAAAATCAACCCCAAATTTTTTAATAAGCTACTTTTATCAAATAATCATGTTAACCCATGCCATTAAGATGATCATAAAAATTAAAAATCAATCACTGGAGTCTCCGAAAATGAGTATCGCAAATCAATGTAGTCATTATATTACAATTTTATCAAAAATTCTATTATGTGATGGCATGACACGTAACTAGGTCCCACAAGACTAAAAATATTTAAATAATTAAAAAACAATTTTTATTTTTTGTATAATTAAAAACTTAAAAAAGAAAAGGAAAAAAAAAAAGGAAGAACGCATTTTCTCCTCCCACCCGAACACAGTCACACCTGCACTACACCCAAACCCCTCCTCACGATTTTAATTGCCAATACATCAACAACTTCGAAAGGTTTGGTTATGGAATTGATATAATAAGCCAAAAAATTAGCTACAGCTTGTACATGTTTGAATATAGGGCTCGTTTAGATATACTTTTAAAATAACTGAAAATGCTTTTAGAAAAAATATTTTTAGGTTCTAAAAGCACTTGAAGTAATTTCTGCAAGAAGCACCAACTATGTGCTTCTTCCATGAAGCACTTCAAGTGTTTTTCCAGAATTTATTTGCATTTTTACTAGATAATCAGTCAAACACCCATTCAATCTCATCTGTATCTCCTTGTTCTCTTATCTGACAAACATTTAATTTGTATGCAAATTGTTGTTTAACCAGATAGGAGTCTCGAAGCTGGAGATATAGTTTGCATCCCATTTATCTTGTATAAGGAAATGTCAAAGCAACTCATTTAAAAAAAAAAAAAACAATTATTATGATAAAACCATAATACTATCCTCCAATAACAAAATTATCTTCACTTTTCTATCCGACGGTCTGGAACTATACTCAATCAACGACCTCGATTACACGGATTGATGATGTAAATTTAGGTCCAAACAAATACAAATAGACACCCAAGGTCAAAAAAAAAATGTAATCATATTACATATTATCAATACTATTGTGTTAAATAGCTTCCCGTTTACGTTCTTTTTACTAATAGATCTTTCAGTCACTGGAAACAAATAAGAACTCACATAGTGCAACACTCATGTACACTCTTGAGAATAGGCAAAACAGTAAACCCAATCTCTGCTGGAAGGGCAAAGTTAATAATAATATTATTATATAATGTACCCGAGTATTAGTAAATTACTTTTTGAGTCCTAACATACGTTTTGAAGGACTTAACGTTGGAAAACAACTATTCTTGAATGAAATATAATTTCATGAATGGAAGTGCACACCATAAGAGATAGTCATCAACCTAGTGGATTCAATTAATTTAAGGTTTGACTAGAGAGTAAGTTGTATCATCGAGGGGAATGAGTTCAAAGCCTACATCTAAAGATTCGCCATGATGGCAACCCAACCTAACTGACTGGAGATCCCAAGATCTAGGTTCAAAGGGACAACCGAATTGTGGATGATTCAATGGGAGCATTGCGGAGATTACCTCCTACCCATGTCCTATGATGAAACAATGCTATTTGCAGCGTATTTAGGATAAACTTTGCTTTTAATGATTCTTATACTTGGAAATAACAAGTGGGGTATTGCATGATACTCTTAATAGGAAGTCACCTATCTTGAGTGAGAAATTGGGCCGTTCCTGTGAGAATTTTTTGAAAGGCTTAGTTCTCTAAAAACACTCATGAGAAACCAAGAATTGTTCAGGGCCAAAATGAACATAACCACGGGTCCACGGGGTGTCTGGAAGGGTATTGTGTGATTACTATTGTCTTGGTTTACACAAACGGCTGAGCAGTGTAAGACATCGCGTTCACTAATTATTCAAGTAAATCAGATAGTAATTCACTACGGAAGGTTCAAAGTCAAAAGCCACCTATCCCGATGCGGTATTTTTCCTACTGAAGTCTCTCTCTAGTGTCTGCATTGTCATTGGCATAGTGTTGCGTCAATTTCCATTCATGTGGGGGATTGTTGGAAAATTTAATAATAATATTATTATATTAAATTTATTAATTGAATGGAAATTAGAAGTGGAGCCTTTTGGTAGAAAGATATTGTCTACTTAAATGAAGTGTTGCAACTTTTGACTCTTCATGAATAGTCACATATTTTCTAAAGAGGTATCTCGCATTCTATAAATAAGGAAGCCCCCCTATAATCATATAATAACTTTCATTCTTTACATAATCATACATAGAGTGCACTAAATATTAGAGAGTCTCATAGAGTCCATATGAGAGAGTTTTCAACACAATCGTGGTTCATGGAACCTTGTGATTTGGAGTGCTACTATTACAAGGACGTGGTCGTTGTATCTTGGGAGACATGCGGCGATCAACCATAAGCACTGTAGTGAGGCGTAAACTTGTCTAAGGACAAAGTGTCCAACACTTGCCTCGACCGTATTTTCTAAATTTTTCTAATCCATTATATCATGTTCATTTAATATTGATTACTCATGTGCAGACATTAATTTTGATATATAATTGCATGAATTATTTCTTAAATTTTTTCGTGATTTAATATAGCAATTAGACCCTAATTTTTCCAACAATCTCCTTCCAATTAAGCGAGACATGGTCATCCCTTCCTCCTGGTTGGCTTAACAAAGTCGGACAAGCTAATTCCGTCACTGGACTCTGACTTAACAGTGGTCCATAATGTGTTAGTTTTGTCCAACAGTGCCTCTGCATCTGCTACTTGTTCCCTCGATTCTGAACTGGAAAATCCCCAAATGGGCAATCCAAATTTTATCATCCAAAATCAAAATTAGAGTTTAAAAAATAAAAAAAAATGGTTTGCAGTTAATTACAGCATAATCAAGCTACAAATTCAAAATTCTACACCAACAAAACCCAAATTAAACATAAAATCCCGAATTCATAACGCAAAAACCAAATTAAACACAAAGTAAGGTGCTTTCAAAGAAATAATAAGCTTAGGAACGCGAAAAACCGAAAGAAAAATTTTATTTGAACTCATATAAACTCTTTATACACTCAACTTAAATTTTAAATGTGAAGTGTCTTTTTTATCCTATTGCACAATTAGCATAAAGTATAAGATAAAATTAACAAGAAAACTAAAATGTATCAATAAACCCACATTCAATAATCAAACCTTACTATTATGCAATATTTCTCTTGTGTCCTATTCTGGCTAAAATCCTAATATGCTCTCGTAGAGAAAATAAGCTCTTTTTGACAAATAGATAGCGATTTTGAAGTTTTTTTTTTTTTTTTTCTAACTAAAGTATGAATCGATTTATGAGTTTTTATTTTATTTTAATTATTTTATGAACTCAAAGAAAAAATTCACTCAATGTCCCATCCTTGGCGCATCTCAGGATCTGATTATGGGGATGAATGCCATTCCTCGTTCTTGCTTTCCGAAACAGCGGCTCCCAATTCACTAACAGCCAAATCCACCTTACGGGTGTTCAAGGCGTGAGCCATGAGCATTTCCCAAGCCTTCATGAAAGACCCTTTAGTCTTCTTACAGGCACTTGCAAAGACCAATTCTGGTTCTTCATCCATGCCCTGACTGAGTTACCCACAGATGGCAACATTTGCCAACCTCATATCAAAACTAAAGCAAATGGATCCCATTCCTCAAACAATTCTTTCAATCCCTCAATATCGTTTTGCTTATAAAGGGCATGAAGAATTACAAGATTGCCTAGGCCTCAATAAATTTACCTTTGTGATGAGGGTAATTTAGGTAGTAAATTTGGATTCAAAAAGATATTGATAGTTTAGTTAAAAATAATATAGATATAAAGAGTAAGTTAGATGTAGAAAGAGGTTGCATATGCTCAAATAAAATTTCTCAAATCGAAACCCTTCGAAAGCGCATAAAGAAAGAGAAAATACAATTTGGTAAAGTTTGGAAACTTACATAAGGGTTTTGGAGGAGGAGCAGAGAGGAGGGGATATGCGACCACCATGAAGACTCCATGTTAGTCATCTCGGATTCAGTTTGCAGCAGCATT